TTATTATGTATGTTGCTAACATTGCGTATAACGATATGTGACTAAACAATTTGTGCACGTAAGCAACTTCTGCTTCTTGTATTTGTAACTAAGAATAAAATCGTATTCATATAATGTACAATTATATTATCGCGCTGTTTTAATTATTTATTATTCTGCTTTTCTTGCATTGTTTTATTCTGTTTATTCTTCTTTTTATAATATTACATTAACAAATGTGCATATATAATCTGTATATTATATTAAATGTAGAGAAAAAAATATATAAAAAGTAATAGAATGTATTCAGATAAATATAATATGTAAAAAATAAATTAAATTACAAAAGAAAATAACATTTCTATTTATTGAAAACATGTACTTAACGCGTATAAATTATTATAATATTAATAAAAAAAGTAATAGCAAAAAAGAATTATATAATAAAGAAAATGCGTACACATATATAAAACTATAATATAATAAATATATAAATAATATATAATCAATATATGATATAATATAATATAATATAATATAATATAATCAATATATAAAGAGGTATAATAAGGTAGGAAAATATCAATATAAACAATCATAATTATATTATAAACATATTTATATTTACATATATATTTTACACAATTCATTAATTCTAAAATATACATATATAAGCGGGTTTTCTTACATCAAACTCTAAGTAAAAGAAGTAAGAATCGTGGAAAATAAGAATCAAGCGCTGAATATGATATATAATAAATAATTGCGCATATTTTTAAAATTCAAATTAAATTTACTTTGGATATTTCTATATTAGATGTTTTTATCTTAAATACAGACAAAATCCATTTCTCTAAAAAATTACTTGTCATTAATTAGTAATTGCAAAAAATAGATAATTTTTTATTTATTTTCTAATTTTTTAATTCACTTATGGTAGGGAAATAAATAAAAGAACAAAAGTATATATATAATTTTAAATTATAAACATATTTTTCATAAATAATTTATTTATTTTCTAAGTTATTTACATATTTCATTGAATCTCTTCTCTCTCTCTTTCTTTCTCTCTCTCTCTCTTTCTCTTAATAAAATATACATTTTTATGACACAATATTATTCTCTACATGAACAGGTGGAAAGTGGATTCTCACAGGCAGGAACAAGAACTCTGTCGATTCTGCTTCTAAGACCAGTTAAATATGTAACAGGTTTTTCCAAATTGATCGATGTAGTCGCTCTAAAACAAAAGTAAATATTATAATGATAGTTATTTAATACATTTTTTACTAAATTGTTAAGAATGAAACCTTGTTTCGTTAAGAAAATACGAGACAATTAGTGATTTATAAGTGTATTTTATATCGAATCATGTAATCTGAGAACATAATTTGTGTTCTTCAATCTTTAGAAGACCGAAAGGTTTTCTTTGAAATTTTACATATTTAATAAAAACTTGTGTACATATGACGTACGTCTTATATAAAGTTATTGTTGCAGAAGTGCCACTATGGGGTAAGCCGGCCCCTTCTAAAGATTAAATATTAAATAGAATAATATTAGAATTCTTACGAAGACAAAGAAGGTGGTGCCGGTGGTGGCACTTGTAAATCAAAGTTGTAAGTCGCTGGCACGGATTTGATCGGCACGGTTTCGATTTGCGGAGTTTCGATATTATATGCGTAGGATTTTCCTCGAAGACAATCCGGAGGCTCAACTACTGTAGATGCATCTGTAGATGTATACGCAGCGACTGGAGGTACATCAATAGAAATTGGATATTCCTTTGGTTGATTAAAAATTATCGGTTCTTGTTTATAAGAGACAGTTTGATAGTTCAGCTTAAGTGGCTGATGAGAGAGACAATCAACTTGTTGTCCGGTTGCGATTGAGGGGACCTGAACGGGTTCTTCTTGAACGGGTTCCTGTAAATTATTGTTGTAAAAAATGAGTAGCAGCCCCTTTTATTTGCTACGCATAATATTTTTTAGTTTCTAAGAGATTATAACAATATACAAGATAATTAGATACATATTATGTGTGTATATAATAAAGTATACAATTTAGAGATAAACACAACATATAATTTTAAATAAATATTTTTATAATAAAATTGAGATATAAATATATATTTGTATCTAAATTATTTATATACATATAACTGTGAAATTTTGCTTGCAAAATATACGCATGACAATTGTAAACTTATATAAAGATAAGGTATATCAATGTGTGTATACATGTACCTCGATCTTAACAGGCAGATACTGTGGCAAATAACACGGTTCTCCATATGTAACTACTTCAATTCCGTTTTGTGAAAATTGGAGAGGAAAACCACGAGTAAACCTCAAATATAATAAAGCACCAATAATAACAAGATGTTGTAATCTGATCATTATTGCTGTTAATCACGCGAGAATTCACAAGAAATCTAAACTGTCTTCCAACGTATTGCGCTCTAATATAGAAACGATTTTGTTGAAGAAAAATCCATAAAATGTTTCCTGTTTAATGTAAGCACAAAAAATCTCTTTATACATAGCAACAAACCAATGACATTCTCTTCGTTATTATGTGGCAAATGAAGCTGAGATGTTTATTTAAAAATTAGACCGAGCACGTATTTTGTTTGACACGTGACCACGCGAGATTTTTCGCTTCCTGTATTCCTCGATTTCGATTATCTTGTTAAAATAATAATCTTGTTATCTAAAGAGAATATCTGTGTACGATAAAAAATATGTATTATTGGTAAGGTAATTTTTCGAATTAGTGATCAAATTGAATCTTCAAAAGCAAAAAGTGTTCGATGTACTAAAAGTGGTGAATATTCGGAGTGTTTCGGGAACAACTTATTCTATTTTTTTTTATTATCTTCAACTTTTATTAATATATTATGTCTCAATATATTATATTAATATATTATATTATTATTATCAATTATATATACATATTTTAATAATAATAGATTTGACATTCTTTTTAATAGAACGATATGTATGTCTTTGCGTTATTAAAATCAAAGCAAATATTTTTGTAGTCACATAATCATTGCAATAAAGACACATCTAATTATATTTAAATAAAAAGATAGGGAAATGGCAACAACAAGCTAACACCCTTGTGTCAGCTTGTGTTAGCTTGTTATTGCCACTTCCCTATCTTTTTATTTAAATATTCAACGAGCTTTAAACATATAATTTAATTATATTGTGTTTATATTTACTAACAATGCAGTAATGCAAGAAACTGAGATATGTACAAAGATAATAGTTTGCGACTACTATATTAATATATAAGCCGCTGTAAAACACGCATTAAAAGTGTGCTTACTGCTGATGCTTGCTTAGCACTTTTTGCGCGCTTTCTCACAATCGCTTCTGACACTCAAATTGGTCAAATGAAATGCCATGGTGTTAGTATATCATCAGTACATTAATCTTTTATTCATTCACGGTGAGTTTGCTTGGTTCTTTTTTAAATTCACTTCATAATTTAGACGTGTGCAAATTATGTATGCAAGAAGAAATAAATTAACAATCAGAATTATTATACGCCGTAAATTTTAATATGTGTGAGCATTGCAAAAAAAAAAAAGAAAAGAAAATAAAAACGATTTCTCAATAGTAATGAGCCTAACATTTATAGATCGTGTGTGTTTCCTTTATTTTACAGCGATTATATCACGCGTCACTAAATAGTGCCTTTTCTCTTTTAACCAAAATTTTTATGACTATATTGTGTTTTAGTCAAAAAAAGGTAAAAGAAAATCATAAATTTCTATTCTCTAAAAATATACATTATACATTAAGATACAAGAAGAAAAAAAAGATCATACATTAATCTACTGTTATTGTTTTGTAGTAAATTTGAATTTTAGTATATTTTATATTTGATATTTTATATATTTTTTTTATTATATTTTATATATTATATTTATTTATATTTATTATATTTATTATATTTTTTTTTATATTTTATATTTTATTCATTTTTATCTCACAATAATTCTCATTCATCATTATTCTCAGTTTTAATTCGTTTTTTGACAAGTATGTCAAATTTCACCCATACTTTTTATTTTTGTTATTTGTTATTTTTTATTTAAACTTTTACAAATCAATCTTTTAATAGACTTTATGTTTAATTTATTAATTTTTAATTGATGATTATTATAGTTAAATAAGCATTTAATTTTGTTTATTGTGTGCTGATGTGTGCATCTTATTATGTATTTTTGATTATTTATTTAAGATCAATTTTTATTATTGTAAACTTTAAAGTTTTTCGCAATTTCAATCAATTTGCAGACGTTTTATATTTCGTTATTTACTGAAGAAGATCTCAAAGAACTCAAAGATTGAAACGTCTGATCATATTTCGTAATAAAATCATATCTTTATATACGAATGTTCTGTACCTATATTAATTCACACGTTGACTTTTTACCTATTAGTGATCAAAACAAATTTCACCGACGATATCATACATGTACGTTCATTAGATGATAAAGAATTATATATTCGATTTTTCTTACACATTTATTATTATATTTATTCTTCCTTTTTTTCTCTCTTTTTCTCTCTCTCTCTCGCTTTTTTCTTTTTTTCTGTCTCGAGAGAGATCCTTCCATTATTAAAGACACACCAAACTTATGTTTTGTGTAACCATTAATTTTTCAAACGGCATTTTATTTTAAAACGTCACGAGCTCGTTATCTCGCAATTTCTTGTCTATATACCTATATATATGTCTATGTTAATATTAAATATTATATATTTCTGGAAAAATATTTTGTCGCAAATTATTTATTACATCTTTTGAAGTATTAATTCGCAATTTATTTATACATGATATATATATATCAATTTTTGTCAATATATATATATACACATATTGATTTTATATACACACATGTATATAAAACACACATAGGTAAATCAGCAATGAAAGAAGGATATGAATGAAAGAAAAATATTATATATAATAAATTCAATAACTCATGTATCTCTCAGAAGTCTATATTATATAATATCTTAACAATATAATAACGTCACACACGCAAACGCAATATATGTATAGGACTAGTACAATACTCGCGATATTCGAGCAGAGCGTTTGTTACAACAATTGAGATTCACCTTGATCAGTCGATAATTTTATCGGTGAAAGAAGTTGTTTTTTTTTTTTTCAAAAAGAAATTTGAATTAGAAACTTTTACACCCGGCACTTTTTCGAGACATACTCTGCAATCTGGCGAATATACCGGACGATGGATCGTCCTCGTCATCTTCCTCGTCGCTAGTCTCAATTGCTAGGTGACTTCGAACGTTGTATGCTTCCTCATTATTTTGATCATCGTCGAATTCGTTTTCGGTTTCCACGAACTCTCGATTTATGACGACACTACCGGGAACGAAACCAGCAATTGCCGGTCCTATCGGACCGCAACCTGCGTCATCGTCGAAGCTTTCACCTTGGGATGCTGTTGACGCGGTCACTTTAATTCCGTTAATTGGCTCATATCCCAAGTCTCTGAAATAAATTCCAATAAATCATTAATTATGTATATATATATATAAGTGCTGAAAAAGTTTAATTGCCTGATCAATAAATAATACAAGAGATTCTCTCAACTTACCCGTACGTAATGTAGTGTCCTTGCGACTGCCGAGAAAGTTCTTCCTGTCTAATTTTCTCGCGTTCAATAGCTTCGAGTTCCGCTAACTTGGCCTCTTCGTACTCGTTATAAACACCGACGGTGACGGGACGCAGATTCACCGGCTTCAGCTCAACAACAGGCTTGTCGAGAATCTGAAGTTTTTCTTCCGGCACGTCCGGCCGTGTCTTTTTCTCGAACGACGATTCAGTCGGGACTGTTCTATGACCGAATGCTAGTTTGTCTTCCGGCACGAATTGCGTCTTCTTGTTATAAAGCACGCGCGGGAAAAGATTTTTGTACGCCAAAGTGAGCGAAACGGGATCCGCTGGTAGAACGGGATAGGAATAGTCCCGAGGCAGTTCTAGAGCACACAAATCATTAATAATAATAGATATAATAATAATAAATGTAATAAAAATAAAAAACCACGTTTTATTTTTTTTCGATAATACGCACCTTGTTCATCGCCAAACTCGTTACATCCAAAGTTTGTGGATGCTAAACTGGAGCTTGCAAAACTGTTTCCATTCAAGCTGGTCGCTTGAGAAGATGTCAGTCCTAGACCGCTTGCACTAGAAATTGCTTGTGACCCTCCTGTGCGACTGTTACTCAAACCAAATGATCCGAGACTGCCTGAGTTAATATTTCCTTGATGTTTGTTCCAAGATTGACCGAATACACTATCTACGCCGTTCAAAGTGCTCGAACTACCGAATTGTCTTGTCCATTGCGCACCTCCGAGTCTATTAACTGATAAATTACTACCGCTGGACGTTGATAGGCCGAGTTTTTGCAATCCAGCTCGATCAATTTGTCCGTTGACCGTGTTCACGCAAATCTCTTGGGAAACAGCTTTAGAAGGAACGACTCTGGGTTTGCCGGGATATGCTGGTGTTACTTTGGTGGAAGTAGTCAGTTCGAATTTGCTTTTTTTTCCTCCAGAAGGACTGTTCGGATAGCATAGATCACCAATTGGTGCAAAGCTGTTGACATAATATGTAAAGCAGATACATGTAGATACAAATACATATGTTATTTACATTTTGGTTTTATTTTATTACAATGTGTATATATATACACACATAAATTGTATATATATATATATATATATATATATATGCAAATATAAAGAAATAATTAAACATCTTATCTTTCTAGATAAAAAAAAAAATTATTAGATCAATATATACGCAATAATTTATTATAAATAAATGACGACTTACGTAGGTACAATTTGTCCCTGAGTCTCAGAAGACAACAAATCAGCAAGCTGTAGAGATCCAGATTTTTTATTGCACCCACAATCGGAAGTCAATTTACCCGAAGTGGTGCTGAAAGGTAAAAGAGCATTTGCATTGCTCTCGCCGAGCTGTCCTCCAAGAAAACCGAGAGAAGAAAAGGAACTTGAAGAGCTGCTGCTACTACTGCTGGTACTGCTGGTGCTAAGTGCTCCGGTGCTCGCGGACAATCTTCCAATTCCTTCGCGTGCTGCCGCAGCTCTGTTGATTGCGTCCGGCGACGCAAAAAATAGCGGCTTTTGCACTTTCGCTGCTTTCACCACTACTTCCCTTGCTAATTGAAAATCGAAATACTTGCATATATTATCACTTTTATATGCGGTTTTAAGTAATTCAAAAAATTTTAAATAAAAAACACTATATATTACGTGTGTATACCTATAGTAATGATAATAAATATAACAAAAGTGAAAGAAATTTACATACAATACAAAACTAGATATTTTTATTTAAAAAAATTAGATATTTTTATTTAAAAAAAAAAATAGATATTTTTTATAAACAAAAATGCACATACCTGTGCTATCTTTGCAAGGGTCTTTGCGCGCCTGAACGACATTTGTGGCCGCTAGTGCCAAAAACAGAGCACTTCCCAAGATCAAAGAGGACTTCATATCTGTCTCAATGACAATTTACACTCTCTTTCTATACTTCTCTTTTCCTTTTCCCGACCGTACATTTATATCAGAAACTTGTTAGCTTTTTTTCGGCAATCAATTACGAAATCCATCAACAATAAATATTTTAAATGACAGAATGCTTCCTGCAACATTTACGCGTGATGAATGTGTATTGTGATTTTTTCCTTCCTGGATTCGCACGTTTCAATAAGCTTTGCAAAGAAGTTGCATTTTATAGTTTAGTGGCGTTTTTTTATTCGAGGAAATATCATAATCATCAGCTTTTGTTATAAATGAAACAGACATTTAATTGACAAAACTCGAGTTTCGTGTTTGTAAAAATAAACAAGAAACAAAGAAAAAGATACAATAGGATGTGTAAGAGTGAAAAAATTTTTAATGTAATATTAAGAAATATATATTTTCCAACATATCCTTTTTCGTTCAAAAACTTGGTGAGATAAAAACTTACATGTACTTATATATATGTGATATAAAAAAGTTTATTAGTTTATAATTACATATGTAAGTAGCGGGATTTTCAGTTTATTGCATAGTAACTTAGGTCATGTTTTTTGTGATCTCCAAATATTAAAAAAAACAATATTCATAAGTACAATAAAAAGTTGAAACCAAAAGAATTCTTTAACTGAAGAAATATTATGAAGTTTTAAATTTTTGAATTGCTCTTCTCTAAAATTTGCGTTTTGGAGTTACGGGATTATACGTAAAGAGTGACAAAATAATCTTGCAAAAATTATGTATAAAATAAATTTATTTACTTATACAAAATTTATTTAAAATAAAAAAACAAAACACTTTTTTTAAGTAAACTGAAAAAAAACATGTATATGTACATATATATACACAATATACTCTTCTTATGTATACACAAATATTATTTATTTATTTTAGCGTAGTAAATATATTTGACGTTCGATAAATTAAGAAACAGATATTGCATCATGTAGATATTACATTATATATATATGCTATATTTACAAGCTTGAGTTAATAACGTTATTTTTATTAACAACGTTCGAAGATTTGAGGTTTCAATTATTTCGTTTTAGAATTTTAGTGAAGGTTTTCATTTATTAAAAAAGTCTGAAGCTCGTTGCCGCTGCAAAGGTAGATTGAGTAAGTTGTCGGTCAATACAGGTCCTTGTATCCGCAAATTTGTTTCTAGCTTTTGCAAAGTGTTGTGTTTGACTGATGTGACCGCACGCGGTGTGCCCGGTGTTGTGACGTGTCTTATAGACGGAGTTCGCCGAGGAGAAGGCGTACTTGATATCCGAAGTTTCTGCGTCGCCAATCTTCTTGCCGCAGGAGACATAGTACTCAAACGATCTATAGTCGATTTTGGTGATGGACTATAAAGAATAGTTTACGTTAATGTTTATAACGTTGTAAGTATTAAAATATATATCTGTATTGTTAAATATATTATCATTTATTTAAATGTTATACTTACGTGGCTAATGATCTTCTAGCTGCTTCCAAAGCTTTGCTTTTTCGATCTCTGTGTCTTTCACCAACTTTCTCAGCCAACTGTAATGCCAGTTGTTCCCTTTTGGGTGGTTCTGCTATTCTGAAAGAAGGGCCCTGACTCGTCGTCAGCAAAGGAGTATCACTGCCGTCCAATCGAAAAGGCGTCCCTTCAATTTGACCCCACGTCATCAAAGGACTTTCGCATTCTCCTGGTCTTGGGCTTGGTGTTGCAACAAAACTAAAACCATTTATCCGTGGTGTTGCATTCCTGACGACTTCTTTACCATCAACGCCAATCTTGCCGTCGTTAGCTTTAGACTGTGATTTGGCTAATTCACTGATGGTTTCTTTATTTTGTTGTTCATTAAATGGATTTGTTCTCAGTCTTGTGTTTTCATGCATTACAGTTTGTTTCTGTTTGGCTAATTCTATCTTCTCTTCGGCTGTAAGTTCCACACCATCAGGAATATACATAATGTAATTCTTATTCTTGTAAGTCCAACTGTCAATTTGATTAGGTCTGCAATTCGAGTCTTTGATTGTCAAGTTGTCAGTTATAGATTTGTCTATGGCAAGCCACGCTTTTGACTTTTCTTCAGCTTCATAAAGCCAAGCATATTTCAGTTTACGTTTGTTCTCTGTTTCAACCATCATTTCTTCAAAACTAGCATTATCTTCACTTGTGTGTGTGTTCAAATAATCATCCAAACTAACCTTACTTTCTGTTTTGTTATTTGTTGTTATTGATTCAGATGTTTCTTCAGATGAATTCTTAGATGTGCAAGATGATTCCTCTGATTCATTTCTACGTAATGGAGTTTCAAATGTTGCCGGACTGACTGGTCTCTCAGTGGCAGGTCTGCCAAAACTATATTTTGCATACAATTCTCTCATTCTATCCACATTATTTTGCTCTAATGCATCCAAGTACTCGTTCTGTGCTTCTAATTTTTTCAAGTGTGGAAAAAAATCTCTTTGAATAATTTCACCCATCCTTTCAATATATGTATCTTCATCTAAGATCTTTGGTTGAGAGCTTTTACTCTTTTTTGCAGATCCAATAGGTTTCTTGAATATAGCTAAATCCTTTATATTCTTAGCAGCTTCAAGAGCTTTTGAGCCTGGGCTATCGATAACAGAATCTAAAAGAAAAATAAAGACTTAATACGATACTAACAAGAAATGTAAATATCAATATTAAAAAATAGTAAAAATTTTCTACTTTTACTAACACAATTATTGAATATTTCCACATTTCTGTTTATACTTACCACTCATTTTAATTAGTATGTATATGCAACACCAACAAGTCACAAACGTGGCGAAATATAAATTAAATATTTGACTTCTCAGAAATGTTCAGTATCAGCTATGAAAAAATTTCCATTTATTTACTGTGTTTACAACCTTGACTATGAGCTTTTTAACACAGTCTTTCTTCTGTATTGTGCTGATTTTATTAGAGGTTAAAATTCTGTATTGTTCAATTTGATGCAATTATAGCTCTCTCTTCTTCTTCTTTGCACTTATGGCTCCGTGCCCCTTTAACTGTTTAGGCACCGGCCAGTCTTTGCTTTAAGCGCGCACAGGTTGGTTTGGATACGACACCAGTCTGTCTGCTGCGCTGTGTACTGAGACTAAGGANTTAGTAACGACAGGTAACAAGCAGGAAGGGAAGAGTAAACGTAAAAGGAGTAGAAGGGGAAGGGGAGGGAAGGGTAAAAGCTTGTTTACAAAGGAGACAGCGTTCCGCTAGGACGGTTATATACTTATGTTGGCTGTATTGACGAACTTTAGTAAAGCAAACATGGCGCTAAAATTACTGGAAAAGGCAACCTTTTCCACACTATACGGAGGGCTAAACCCGTTGTGGTACAAATCAATCAGCAACCTGTC